GCCACCTTTGCTTCCCGGCTGGCCCGGCAAGCCCTGCGGAAACACGGCCAGGATCAAAACCCGTGCGCAGCCCCGGAGGCGGCGACCCTGCCTGCTGCCTCGTGCCCGGAGGCAGCGTCCCTGCTGGGTGCTGGCCCTGCACCCTGGCACCACCCCGGGATGGGGGTGGCACCCCACAGGTAACGGGGTTCCCCCTGCGGGCAGGGGGCTCCCACGCCTGTACTCACAGCCTGTCCCCGGTGTCCCGGCGTTCCTGGGTGGCCGGCCTGTCCCACACCGCCCTGCGAGGGACAGAGAGTGTGTCACTGCGTGGCGGAGAAAGGTGCAGAAATGGGGTGTCCGCGGGAGGGACAAGGGACTCTGGGCCAAAGGGGGGACACTGCCCTTGAACCCATGGGGACAGCCGCACTCCACTAGTCAGGAGATGCCACATCGTGGGCCGGGACCTTATGCCACTTGGCATCCCCGTTATTTCCAGCAAGCACTGGTGCGAGGAACAGCACGTGTCGGTTCCCCGTCGCCGGCGCAGGCAGTACCCGGCAGCCCCTGCCCGCGGCAGCTCACCTTCACGCCTGGGATTCCCGGGGTGCCGTCTTTGCCATCGATGCCTGGGAGACCCTGCGAAAGGGGGGAGAGTCGCTTGGTCTGACACCTCTGAGAGAGACTGAAAAGCTCATGGTGGGGGTGGGGAAAAGGCTGGGAAGGGAAAGGAAAGCTCCAGCCCTGCGCTGAGACGGGGTGCAAGGATGTAGGGTGGCCCCGAACAGGACGGAAAGGGATGGAGATGTCTTCTCCTTGCAAGGGGCTCAGCCCCAGACGTGGGCAGGGGTGCTGCTGGCTGTACTTACGTTCTCCCCCTTGGGGCCAATGTCTCCTTGGGGTCCCCTGATGCCACGGCCGCCCTAGAGCGGGAGAGAGCAGATGTTATTTCAGCCGCCCTCTTGGTGCAGGGGACGGAGCTGGGAGAGGGAGGAGATGCCCAACGAGGGCACCACGGGCAGAGCCCCTCTCCGTGCCGGGGAACGGGGCCAAGCGGGGAAAAGGTGTCAGTGGCATCGCACGGGGCACAGCGTTGCCCTCCCCGGTGGGTTACCTACCAGATCTCCCTTCTCACCGGGGTCCCCAGGCGGTCCCTTGGGACCTTCCCTGCCCTGGAGGGGAGAAAGAGGGGGGCTGAGCAGTGAAGTGCAGGGTCCCCCGCCTGCCCCCCACTCCCCAGGGGACGAGGGAGGGCACTCACCGGCCGGCCGGCTGCTCCGATAGTCCCGACCATCCCCTTGTAACCAGCAGGACCCTGCAAAGAGAGCACGGAGGGGTCAATTCCTCCCATCCAACCAGCCACCTTGGTGATGCTCCTGGGGAGCAGCCTCCAGGCTGGGAAGCATCTCCATGGGAGCTGGTCCCCCTGACGCCGGGAGCCAGGCACAGCTCCCCCCTCCACGTCCCACCGGCACTTACCGTCTCGCCCTTGGGTCCCGCCATCCCGGGGTAACCCCTCAGGCCCTGCGGTCCCTGCAGGGAAGGAAACAACAGCCGGTTTAGCTGGAAACAGCCCCAGGAGCAGCCCAGGGGGAAACCTCAATTAAAGCAAAAGCCGGTGCTGGAAATCAGCCGGTTTTGCCAAACACGAGGTATTTCGGTCCCGCCGCTCGCTCCTAATTCTGCAGCCCCCCCACCAGGCGCCTTTCCAGTTGTCGGTTCAATAACAGCAACGGGCCCAAACTGGTGCTGCTTCCCCCGCCAAAGCTCTCGGCTTCAAAGCGGTTTTGCCCTTTCCCGGACCGAAGGGCTCAGCCCGTTAATTGCTTTTCATCTTCAAAGTGCTCGTTGAGCTCAAACAGCTTTAATCCCCACATCCCCGCAGCGAGCTGGGCACTGCACCCCCCGTTCAGGTGGGGTGAGGGGGGGGCTCAGTGTACGTGAGCGATTTGTCCCCGGCTGGTGAGTTATCCACGTTAACGGGTGCTAACGAGCGAGGTGCCCGGGCCAGCGCTGACCGCGGAGGTCTCCATCGGGATGTGGCAATGCCGCTCTCCCAGTGGCAGCTCCGTTGCTGGGAGGAGGGAGATGGGTGGGATGAAGGCTTCACTCTGGTCCCAGCAGTGGGTCCGTGGGAGCAGGGGACACACTGGTGTCATGTCCCCCATGTCTGGGGCCAAGCACAAACCAGCCGCCCCCAGCCCCTGGGGCGCCCGGGGGACAGAGCAGCAAAGAGAACTGAATACGTTACCGGAGGGCCTGGGACACCTTGTTCTCCGGAGACACCAACGTCACCCTTGGGGCCCTGGGGAGGGATGGAGAGGAGAGAGGTGAGTGTTGTGGTACAACCAGGAGGGTACAAACCACCCTGGGGACCCGAGACCCCCTCATCTGGGACCTGCCTGGGGATGGGGACAGGTGTCCATCACCCCAGGGAGCCACCATGGGAAGACTACCCTGTCCACCCTCCATCTCCCAGCCCTGGATCTCCCTCCTCCCTCTCCGATCTCTTCCCTTCCTTCCCCCTGTCTCCCCCCAGAGCCCCCTGCCCTCCAGTCCAGCCCCAGCCCCCCCAGAGGCAGCCATGCCTGGCTCTGCCAGCAAGCTGCCGCGAGGTCACTCACCTGCCTGCCCTGCCTGCCCGGCTCCCCGAGCGCGCCGGGACGGCCTCTGTGTCCCTAAGGGTGAAGAGGAAGATCTTGAGCATCCCTGGGCAGAGCGGTGGGGTCGAGGCAGCGTCATCATGGCCATGTCACCTGGAGCCACCCTGCCCACGATGTCCCACCCTGGGGTGCCCCCTGGTGACGTGGTGGGGCTCAGCATCCCACTGCCGATGCAGTAGGGCTCGGCATCCCACTGGTGACGTGGTGGGGCTCAGCATCCCACTGCCGATGCAGTAGGGCTCGGCATCCCACTGGTGACGTGGTGGGGCTCAGCGTCCCAGAGCCATGAGGGCACGCGGTGGGGATGCCCCCCAGGTGTAACCCTCTGGGTTTTGCAGCGGAGGAGCTGGGCAGCGGCACGGCTGGGGTTGGGGCTTCGGCAGGGGGTCTCACCCCCCAGGAACACGCTGGCAGGGGCCACTGTGGACATCTCCCACAGCGCCTTTGCCCCCAGGGCTCTCTGAGCATGCAGATGCTGCGCTCCCGGGGGAGCAGAGCAGCTCCCCAGCTCCACGTGCCTCTAGATGGAGGAATGCTCCTTCTCTCAGCACGCTGGAAGTGACGGTCCTTGTTCCCTCCCTGGCAGCTCCAGGGCTCCCTTACCTTCAGTCCCTGCAGTCCCTGGGGGCCCTTGGGACCTGGCGGGCAGCTGGTGGGGCACTGGAGGGGAAGAAGAAGCACAGGTTGAGTTGGGAAAGGATGCAGAGGCTGCGGAGAAGCCGTGCCGGGAAGGACGGGCTCCCATGCCACGCAGCGAAGACGGGCTGAGCAGTGACGCAGGGGACCCACCGCTCACAGCATGGTTTTGGCTGAGGACCACGGTTTTGGCTGAGGACCCCGCTCCTCCCCGCTCTGTCAGCCCCCAGTTACCAAATTACACCGGTGGCGGTATTTCGGGCCGGGGCAACACGTACCGTCCCGTTCCCCTGCAAAGACCTGCCGAAGGGACAAGGGAAGGGCAGCTCTCACCAAGAAATCAGCGCTGCCTTCCACTCCTTGGATGTGTCCTGGGGGGCCCTGGAAGGGAAGGAGACCATCAGCATCCCCGGCTTAATATCAGCACTCCTTTACAGGAGAGGTGAATGTTAGCCCTGGGAGGGAGGGCAGCAAGGTGTGGGGTGGGAGGTGTGTGCCAGAGCCCGAGTCCCATCCCCAGACCCAGGGCTGAGGGCCGGGGGGACTTCTTCCATCCCGCAGAAAATGCTGCTAAGTGGGGAGATACTCACGGGTTTCCCTGGGGGGGGTGGGGGGGACAAGGGAAGGGCAGCTCTCACCAAGAAATCAGCGCTGCCTTCCACTCCTTGGATGTGTCCTGGGGGGCCCTGGAAGGGAAGGAGACCATCAGCATCCCCGGCTTAATATCAGCACTCCTTTACAGGAGAGGTGAATGTTAGCCCTGGGAGGGAGGGCAGCAAGGTGTGGGGTGGGAGGTGTGTGCCAGAGCCCGAGTCCCATCCCCAGACCCAGGGCTGAGGGCCGGGGGGACTTCTTCCATCCCGCAGAAAATGCTGCTAAGTGGGGAGATACTCACGGGTTTCCCTGGGGGGCCTGGGGGACCCCGCGGGCCGTCGGGTCCAGGGTCACCCTAGGGAAGAACAACCGCAGCAGAGGAGATTTAGGGGTGGGGAGGTGGCAGGTACTGCCGGGGCTGGGGTGGAGAGGGGTGACAAAGCACCAGAGACCCAGGCTGTCACAGCATCCCCCAGCCACGAGCTGGGAGGGGATGGATGGTGCTGGGGGACCCGGCTGCAGGCACAGAGCCCGTCACCCCTCCGGCCCCGCTGTAGGGGGGACGCCCATATTACAGGGTTGTCCCTCTTTGCCCCAGAAGCCCCAAAGTGCAGAGAAGAGGATGCTGGGGTAAGGAGGGGAGGTTTTCTCACGCCCCCTCCTGACCCCTCACCTTGGGTCCCAGCGCTCCGATCTCTCCGGGGAGCCCAACCTGCCCCGGGAGCCCCTTAAGGAGAAGAGAGACATTCACAGAGTGAGAGAGGTCGAGCCCCGACACCCCCGCTTTGGGGGTGCGGAGATTTCAGCTCTTCCAGCACAACCCCAAGTGGGGTCCCCCGCTGCCCACAGCCCCTCCAGCCCGGCACTTACGGGGGGTCCTGGCAGAGAAGGGCCCTGCAACAAGAAGAAAGACACAATTGGTCCAAATTCTCCAAACCCCCCCATCAAACCCATCAGCATCCCTGCCCCGAGCAGGGCAATGCCCACGCCCCC